GCGATCACACTGTCATTATTATAAGCACTCGTGCACATCTAGACTGCTAAATCCCAAATGGAAGACTACATGCCACCTTTATGTACTTCACTCCCAGACCTGGCATATCATGTAAAGAGCTTGAAAAATCACTCACATAGCATACTGCTTAGTTGTTCTGTTATTATTTATGAAATGCAGCACCCATTATATATAAACAAATAGACACATGTCCGTACATATGTAAATAGATTATCAATATAAATATTTTTTCTGAAGTTCTCCTGTTTTGTTGGTTCTAAACTCTGCAACTTAAACAATATTTTTCTGTTGTCTCAAGAAAAAAATGTTTTCTTATAGTTGGGGATGAGTAAAGAAAAAGAAACTTTGGAAAAAGCGAGCCTGCTTACAATTTTAATAGCGTTGTTCCTTCTCTCTCACTGCTTGCTCCTGAAATAGTTGTGCTCTAACAGGTTGGGTGATGCAGTCATGTGAGAGAGTACGCTGTGCACCAGCATGGGCCAAAAGAGGCAGAAGAGATGTGCATGGATGTCCCCTCTGCCTTTTTTCCCCCCAGTTAAAACTCCAGAAGCTGATGCTCCAGTTTGGGAACTCAGTTAAGTATGGGCTACTCTGTCTGCTGCGTGAAATGGAGAGGATTCAAAACATCAAGGTTTAATGCACCTTGGAAAGCCCCCCATGTCCATAATGGCAGGACTATGGAGATGCTGGGGAACCATGGAGAAAAATGAGTGGTGACAAGAATGAATAAATATTAATAAGGTCATTCCTCAACCTAAAATCTTTCAAAGATTTTAGGTGCTCTTGGTATAAAGTTCAAAATCCTTGCAAAGGTTCTCAGGAGGTTCCGTGGCCTGACAGCCCACTTCTTCAGTCATGTATGAGCTGCCTCTCCTTCGTGTCATTGCTCCAGTCATACTGGCCTGTCATTCTTCAGATGTGACCAACTCTCCTGCTGAGACCTTCCTCTTTAGGGTTTTATACAAATTGTTCTTCTTTCATGCACCGCTTTCTTCCCTAACCTTTACCTAGACAACTCCAATATGAGGACCTTGTAGTCAAGGAGCTTATGGTCTAATGAAAAACAGGTCTTCTCTTCAACACACCACATCTCTCTCACTCATTCTAGAAACTGACATGGCTATCCCCATGCCAAAGGATACCAAGTCCCTGAGAAATATCTGTTAAGGGAATAAATGTCTCAGTGCTTTTAAAGATAATTATTGAGGCTGAGGCAGAAAGATCATTTGAGGCTAGGAGTTTGAGACCACCCTGGGCAACAGCAATAATTTGTCTCTACAAAAAATTTTTTTAAAAAAAGATGACACTTGGAAGGCTGAGGCGGAAGGATCGCCGGAGCCCAGCAGGTCGAGGCTGCGGTGGCCGGAAGCGGCCACTGCACTCCAGTCTGGGTGACAGAGTGAGACTTCCACTCAAAAAAAAAAAAAGATGACAATTACTGCCTTGTCTCTTGTAAATCCATCTGGGGAGCAGGAGGTTGGAAGCACAGGCAGTCTGAGTGAGAACTCTCAGCCAGGGATCCAGGCCAGGACTCATGCTGTGAAGTAGGAACGTTTTCAAGGGAAGTGACCCTTTGCTGGAACACCTCGGTTCCAAGGTGGTCATTAACTTTGAATTGTTGTGCAGTGCGAATAATTTGCCTGTGGAAAAAAATTAGCACTAACAGGAATGCTACTTTTGTCACTAAATTTCAACTAGAAACCTGACTCATCTCAGCCAGACTCAGTCCAGACTATGCCATTTCTGTAACATTAAAATATAACCTGTAGCCATACCAGCAAAGCCACCTCTTAACAGAGAGAAGACCTTGGTACTTTCAAGGAAGGGCCAGTGAGAATCTATGAAATCTAGAACCCTCAAAGATACTGACTTGGGGGAATAATTTGGCTTGAATCAATGGAATACGTGTCTCTATATCTGGATGGGTTTAGTCTTCTAGGTTTGTTTATGTGGTCAATCTTCTCTAAATCACTTATTCACTCATTTAGTTGACATTTGAGTGCCTAGTAATCAATAGAAGCTATCCACAAAAAGTTTTTTCTATCTACACAAAAACAACTTATCAAAGACCTAGGAAAAATAAGCAAAACAAAGTGCTAGAGAAATGAAAGTATAACCTTCAAATTCCGAATGATACATCCAGTCGCTATAGAAAGGTATACACTAAAAAACCAGGTGCAAGCCCTGCAATAAAACGCTAAAGCACCAGTTGTACTTTTATTTTTGCCTTTTATTAACTACTGTAGCTCAAGAATTCTTAGTTTCCCACATAACCTCACATTTCTAAGTTGGTTAGGACTGTTCTGAACTCCAAATCAGCAAGCACAAATGCCAAGAAGTCATAACTCCACTAATTATAGCAAATGTTGTGACATTTTTAAATAGGTGCCTTACCTAGAAACTCAGTATTCTTAGTGTTCTCAGAGTTCTAAGCAAATTATTGAATGCTGTTTAAAGAGATGGTTTATGTAATACCACCATTATGTGTCAGGTAAATCATCTCATGTTGATTTGGTGTTCAACTATAATCTCAGTGCTTGTATTTCAGAGAATACAAAAGATTTCAACTTGACCTCTATAATAGGGGGTATTTATATTTAGCATATCTAGAATTAAATTCCAGCTACATTACTGATGATATTTTAAAGATAAATTTATGAGGCAGTCTCTTATTTGCATAATTCCATCCATTTGACTACAATAACTGGGATACAGATAAACACATGGTTTACAAGAACTATAAATTAAGGAATAGTGAAGGCTTACTGGAAAGACATGCTATTTTTGTTGTTATTGCTGCTTAGTGTGAGCCTGGGAAGATGCAGGCCTACCTACTGCTGTTGTCAACAAACTTACTAGCAAATGTAGACCAATATCAAAGATAACTTGAAGAAAAGATCTGAATTCTAACCTCAATTTGAACACCTGTATCAATCTCTACCTGAAGCCACATACACCTTGCTTTGCATGTAAGTGAGTCCAAAATTCTTTTTTTAATGTTCAAGTTCACAGGTTAGGTTGGATATCACTTGCAAACCAAAGGGACTAATTTGTTTATGCAAATGGTAGAAGGCATGAAGGAGCCTGTACTCAGGACAAATAAAGGTCACTCTATATTTACTCATTATGGAATACACTTTTCTTCCCAGCAAGAAAATGTACAGTTTGAGGTATCCCATTTTAATAAATTTCTGCTTCTGGCTTTGTATCTTGAATTTCTGTGTTCATTAATTAAGGTTCAATACCACTACACGCTGTAAATAAAATTTTTCCCTGAGATCATAAGGCTGTGCCTTTGGCTGCAGGACATCTTAACCTACCAAAATTCAGAAGAAAACAAAAAAACGGAGAGTCCTTTGGGTGGTGGAAAGGACAGACAGCTTAGGTAAAATTCCTGAGAAAAAGGTGCAAAGTTAACCAAACCACTAATTAAATGTTACCGGGTTGTGAACTATTATCCCTTCTATGTCTCCAAACATTCTAGAAGGGCAATTTATCTTATTGCATAGAAAGACACTTTATCACAATGCTATACACAGAGCATCTTTGCATTTGTGAGCTGCCACAGCCATCTTGATGCCTCTGTTTCCAGTAAAATATAGAGTTAAGGAGGTATGGAAAGCCTTTGCCCCAGTAACATATGAAAAGAGGGGAAAAAATCAGACAAGGATGATGAGGAAAAAAATGGTCATCACATTATGTGCTCCATCAGGGTTGTGATGCTTCTCAAAATAGTCTGGCATGATAATAGCTACTGATCCTCTACATTCAGGAATGAGGAAAGACTCACTGGATTATCACCTCAAATTCCAACCACATCAACTAGAGAGAACATAAAGCAAATGACCATTGGCACATCTTCCAGTTTGGGTGCCTTGAAAGTCAACATTGCCACTTCCAGCAGTCCCTCCTGGGTTGGAGAAAATCGCGTTCTGAGAAGAAGACAGCTTGCTGGAATGGTCATTTTACATTCTGTTGTGTCCTTCCACCCACCCATCCTCCCAAAATGGCACAATAGAGTGATTCTGTTCCTTATTGAAGATTTCCCTTCTTAAAAGTAAACAAGCAAAGGTTTCCCTCATCTGCCCCATATTAAATCATGGAATAAGGCAGCCAGCTCCAGGGTGGGGAGAGTGGGAAAGGAATCGGGAGAGGGAGCTGGGTGCTAGGCGAACATGCTTAGAGACGATGTTCTAGGGTGCGCCAGCCTCTGAAGACAGAAATATGAGAGGAAGGCTGAACATCAGTGGCACTTCCAGAGGTATCATCCCATAGATGCAACATTCCCAATTCTCTTTTTCAGGTTTTCTTGAGGTAGTTCTGACAGGCTTTTGCCATGTCTTTCAAGAAGTTAGGAACTCCATTCTGCAAAGAAAAAGATTGTCATTTCCATGCCTTCATAATGATCACTACTGATTTGGGGGTTTGTGACAAAAGGTAAACAAAGATGGATTTGGGAGTCAGAAAAAAAGAATATAGTCTCTGCTCAGATTTCAACAGTATGTTGTCACAGATGATGGCAAAAGGTAAGACTCAAGAGCGTGCGTAAGACTAGCTGACAAGAACCATTATTGTGAGGCACTGCTTTGTATTTTGGCTTTTGCTAATAAAAAGTGAAGACATTTCTGAGACACCATTTCTTGACAATCAAGAGAAAGCATGGGAAACGGGACGGGACTGGGTTGTTGGATTCTTCCAAAGCAATGAAAGGACTTAATTTACAGAATTAGAAAATGGTAAGGATTCAGGATCAGGGGGCAGGATATATTAATATTTAGTTAATGTTGAGCATTGTGCAAGACTTTTCCCAAACATTGTCTTATTTACTCTTCCTCTATGAGGTAGATAATATTCATCTCCATTTTTAAAAGGAAGAAGCATATGGCTTCCCTAAGTAAAAACAAGACAGTCATTAGTAAAGCCAGGATTCAACATTGCATGTGTTTGACACCAAAGCTTTTTGTCATTTTCACTCTCCCAAAGAATCTGTTGAGCTCTTTAATAGATAAGACTTTTACAAAGTGGACTGATGGTCTCCATGACGCCAGACTCCTAGGCAGTCTGTAGTGATCCAGATTGCCACCACAGTTCTCTTTCCTAACAGAAAAAGAAAGCAACAACAAAGCTGGAGGCTTCCCTCAGGCTTGGACACGTCTGGTTGTCTCCTAGCCAGGTCAGTCTGTCTTATTCCTCCATAAGCAGAGGAATACAGAATCCAAAGGCACTATTGTTCCTACCCAGAATAGATTATTGTCTGGAGGTTCCAGAGAGTGATCCTGAGGGGGTCTTGGGGCACTAGCAGGGAGAAGTTGGCATTCCAAGCTGACAATTCTTTGTCTTTTGTCCCAGTCTCCATCCTGGGTGTTGGCAACCCCAGCCCTAACCAAAGTCACTCAACCAAGCTCTTCATCAAAGAGCCTCATTACGTCTGAGACAATGTGTCTCTTCAGCCTGACAGCCCCAAGGGCTAAGTCAACATTTGATAAAACACACTCCACCCTCCCCCCACCTCCTGGGATCTCACCTTGGCGGCCCAGTTAATGAGCCAGGACGGAATTTGGCCACCCGGGTTATCGAAGTAATACATGAAAACTAGAAGGGGAAAGAAAGGACAATTCAGAAAAAGGGAGAAAAAAAAATACTGGAAAACATAGCAACAAAACCATGCAAACTTTATATCTTTACAATCAGGCCCAGAAAGTGCAGAGGGAGGAAACATTAGTCAAATGGACTTCTCTCTGCTGACTGGCATTATAGTGTATTTTATAGATAAGCATTTTTGAAACATAGCCACAGGCACATTTTGCTGCCATTTATTAAACACCTGGCAAGTGCAAGACACTTGGACACAGTCTCTTATTTAATTATCCTAGCAACCCTAAGAAACTGGTCAAACTCACCTTAGTTTATAAATGAAGCAATAGAGACTCATAAAAGTTAGTTGAATTATCCAAGGTGATTGATCTACTTAGCATTCAGATTTTGCCTGAGACACAAGGCTACACACACTCTGGTAAGAGCAGGTGGTCTCGTGCTCCACTCTATCCACAAATTTCTTTCTTGGGGGCTAGAACTCTAAGCTGGGCAGTTCCTAAGTTTCTGGGTTTGTGCTAAGTGGGGGCTACATTCTCTCAGACAGACCTGCCAGCCCTCTGAACTCCCCCAGGTCCAGCATATTTATCCACAGGACCAGCTGGAAGTGAATTTCTAAGCCCTCTGGTTTAATTTTAATGTTCTGATTTCATCTGGACCATGCAAAAGTCCTTAAGGAACAGACTGGGTCATACTCTAGCTGAGTTTGTAGAGGAGGATCAAGTCTCTCCCCAGGTGTTGCTCTCTCGTCTGCTTTGCATCTGTGCCCATCATCTGACCTCCAGGGATAAGCTTCGTGCACCTGACATGCCTCTCCATCAGACTGGCCTTCCCATGTGGCTCCCTGGCTGAGTGGAACATGCTCGCTCTGGACTTCACCTTTGCTCCCCTTCTTGCCATCACTCTCAATCGCCAGGCTCTGCTTGTACCGCTTCACCCGGATCACCCCGGGTCTCTCGCCAAGCTGAGGTACAGAGGTGCTCTGGGCCAAGACAACGTGGATCTTCCGCCCTTCCACGTCCAGCTCTCGCTGCTGTCGGACATAAACATACTGCAGCACCAGTCAAGGCAAGACATCCACAGCAGCATTTCAGATGGGCAGAAGGAAAGCTCCACACGCTGGAGCCGAAGGGAGGTGACTCTGTGCCTCCCACTGGGCACCTGAGCCTTTCTGCTGTGGCTTCACTCACCTGCCCCGTCTCCCTACCCGCACATCCCCTAGTATTCTTATTGGAGAGTATGCATTATCTACCTGTGAATGACTCCTTGATGCTTATCATTATGTGAGGAAACCACTTTTCCTTTCTCCATGAAGGCTCTTAGAGATGGCAGAGGATTGGTCATTTATCAGCTGTGGGATCCTGGGTAAGTTACTCAGTTTTTCTGAGACTCAGTTTCAGTTTCCCTATGTGAAAAAAAAAGGGGAGTAACACCGCCCACTTGGCAGGCTTGGTGAGAGTATCAGAGAAAGACCTGGACAAAATAAACACTTATTGATAGACCATGGTGTTATTCTTCTTTGCCCTGTCTTCACCCAAATCTCCAATTACTGACCTCTAAGATAGTCAGCCAAGCAATGTTACAACTGGTGACCATAGGAAGTCACATAAATGCCTGGATATTTAGTAGGCAGATGTCCTCTCCAGGTTACCACTGGTTCATCAAGAATAGCAAAACCATTTCCTTTCCATAAACCTTCACAGAATGACCCCTAGATCTATGGCACTATTCTAGGAAAGATAATTAAATTCAATGAAACAAGAGAAATCACTACTTACTGAGCCTTTGTCACGTAACATCATGTTCATATAGTATCAATTTTGATCCTTACAAAGACGCTGTATGTTCAGTATAAGTATTTCTATCTTATAGAGGACAAAAGTGAGGCTCAGAGAGGTAAATGAATTTGCCCCAAATCCCACAGTCCTGCTGAAGTGATGAAATCTGAATGTGAACCCAGAACTAGAAGGCATTAAAAGCCTAAAGCAAGCAATTGCAATCAATTGTGTGCAACACAATTACACTTACTATAACATAACAATCACTTTAGCTCCATACACCTCAGTCCTGACAGCACCTACCATTGCTCACCCCTCACACCGGACAGTCTATTGATCCATGCTCTTATGTACTGATGAGCAAAGTTCTTGAATGTTTCAGAAAAGAGACAATGTTGCTTTGGTTCTGGCTTTTCTCTCTCTCTCTCAATTCTTTTACTTTTTCCTCACAGCAAATAATTGTCCCATTCTCTCCTCCAACTTACTCAGCTCATGTGATTGACATCACCTGACACTCCACTGAGGGAAATTCTACCTCGACATATTGATTAAAATTTGGCTACGTGCCTTTGAAGGGTTGGCAGTTCCAGTGCGCCATAAAGCCTACGAATGGAGAACCACCAGTTCCCAAAGGCCTCAAGAAGTCAAGGGCCTTGTCCAAGCAAACCAGGGAACCAGGGAAACCAGGGAATGTGCTCAGACCTGGGATCTACAGGGTCAGCAGAGAAGTTCAGATCTTTGCTTAGGTTCATACAACTAGTGGTGGCAGAGCTAGATTTGGGCCCAGCTGTCTCTAGAGATCGTAATCTTGACTGGGGCATGATCCCACATCTTTGACTGCATACCTGGATGGATATTCTCAGGAATGGACACTTGGGGCTCTTTGAGGTTCTATTTCAATAACTTTCCAAAGCCACACAATCCTTTCATGAGATTCTAAGCCTTGTTATGTCTCCCCAGTAAAGTTGTGAAATTTTTGAGAACCAGGAATAACGCAGTGGTACAGTGGTAATGAGCAATATCTTTGAAGCAAAACTAACCATTTGGAGTATTACCTGACAGCTTTTTTTTACTTTCCTTAACTGTGAAATGGGGATGATGATATCTACTTTGCATAGTTATCAGCAGGAGTTTTTTAAAAACACATAAAATCTAAGGGATTAAGTAATCAACAGTTTGTTGAAATATAAACCATGTGTATACAAACTAGCAGTATGGAGATATTGTGCCAAGAAATAACTCTAATAATCTAGTTAAGGTCCAGGGTATACACCCACTGAGACACAAAAACATCCACACAAATGCACACACATTCTCTCTCTCTGTCTACAGAATAACTATTTAGGAACTTACAGACATATACAACGTCAGGGCTAGAAAAGGCCCCAGTGATCATCTAATTCAGAGACTTCCAAACTTTTTTTTTACTCCATGAGAACTTTTGCTAAAGGATCTTATATGGAAATTCAGTATGCAAAGCACTCAGCTTCTGAGATTGAAGAAGATGATGAAGGAGTCAAAATCTTACTAGGAGTCATCCCTCTCCCATCATGCCCAGAAAATAATCTTCCACCCCACCCCTGTCAGGCTAATCCTAAGGGGGCTTCTTAGAACCTTGGAACACCAGCCAAACTTCCCAACATTTCATTCAACTGTTTTATTTCATAAACAAAGAAATTGAGGGGAAGAAGCTTACACTCAGTACTCAGAGTCGACAGTCAAGGAGGGATTGTTGTGAGGTCAGCTGAGACAGGAGGGAGTGGGGAGAGTTGGGAATGCAGGACCCTGAGTTCCAGTGTGCGTCCTGCCACTAGCCACCTGCATGCCTCTGTCAGCTCACCTCTCTGGGTGCCCCCTCCTCTTCAAACTGAGGCAGGTGTACTAAGCATTTTTTATAAAAAGTTCCTCCCAGGTCCCCAGTTCTGTGGCTTGACAATTTCAAGGCCTAGGAAACTTCTTAGGAAAGTATGAGCTGCCCTCCAGTGACCACAGTTACAGATACTTCATGTGGTGGTCAGGTCCAAAAATCACACTCTGAGATCCCAGAAACCACACAAGAAGCAACAGCTTTAGCAAACGCCACAGCAGGAACCAGAGACAATGTTGTCCACACCTGCTAGAAGACCAGCTCTTCCTCCTGGCATCAGGCAATGACCAAGGGACACACAAAAGAGGTTAAGGAATGGAGTGTCTTGTGGGAAGGATACATCTCTGTTGGACATGGGAAAAGGGTACTTCACTTCCCAGTAGACTACAGTCTCTCCATCGCATTCTTGTTCATAGAGTTCTAAAAGAGAGCAAAAGAAGTTAATGCATCTGAAAATCTCCCTGGCTCCAGTTAATAAGATGACTTTTTAGGGTATGATAAACCACTAACTCATAAGATGTAGAATTTTAGAAAAAGTCTGAAAGGTTAATTACCACAGAAAGCTTGTTGCCCAGGAACAGAGGCTAGCGGATATAAAAACACAGCAAAAATCAAAGGAACCTAACAAAATGTGTCTGTTGTTTAGCACAAACAAGATTCTTGTATACAAAGCAATGACTCGAGATCAGCCACCAAGGAATAAATTGCCAGAGGTTTTAGAATCAGGATAACCACCAGATGTCACTAGAGTAGCAATAGTTTTGCTTTTGAGAACTTTTCTTCCCCTTTAAGATTTCTTTACACATTACAGCTGAGGACTCACACAGTCTAGCACATTCTGGTGGAAAAATGAAGGCTCCAGGGAGAGCAATGTCTTTCCTAAACAGCTAGAGAGTGGCAGAAATATGGTGAACCCTAAGTTTCTTGCTTCTCATCTATGTTTCTTCACATTATGCCACAGCTAAAGTGATCAAATTTCCTTAATATTCATTCTATCTGTTATGTAAAGATAGCAGCCAACTCTCGAAGGGAGATAGCAAAGGAACTTAATGGCAATGCACATCCCCTGACTCCAGGTTGCACAGTAAGCTTCTGCCTAACCAGTTAGAGAAGGAGCCATAAGTCCCATGAGGAGATGCTGAAAAGGGTTAATTCAGCTTTTGAAAGAAAATTTATTAGAAGCAGACCATAAATGAAGGAGCGTACCAGCATATTGGGCCCCAAGAGGCTGATGACAGTCCTTCAAGGAAGGGGAGGAGTAGATGTTTTTGCTTCTGCACACTCAGCAGTGATTCCCCCTTCTCATACCAGCATCTCAATTTCCCTTCAGGACATCACCCTTCCCCTACTTCTCAGCTATATGGTGGAAGCAAGATTGATTCTGCCTTTCAGGGCTGAGAAAATGAGCAAGACTCAGTCACAGTGATTAGTTCAGGGATGGTGCATCTGACCAGGGTCTTAGTTTGCCACTCTAGCAAGTTTAAGCCAAAAAGTGGTTTAGTAAAGGCTCTCAGATACTCACATAATATCCACAAGGATCAGAGTGAGGTTTAGAACCCCAGGATTGCTCCAACAAAGCCAGGCTGCTGCTTTCCCTGAATCAAAACCCAGACTGAAAGCTGTTGATGCTGGGGAGCAAACATCAGAGGCTCTGCAATTGTTCTCCCTAAAGTCAGATGCCTTAGCTGTCACCAAAAAAATGGATTTTGCATGCTGCCTGCTTCTTCACATAGCTCCTTTATAAACTGAAGCCACATGTAGGTCTTATTTGCAGAGTTTATATCACATGATGGTGGCACAGCTGCTAGGGAGACCTGGACAGAGAGTGTCTGGCTGCTCACTTGAATAGGTGAGCATCACAATGCCCCTCAATAAGAAGGATATTTGAAAACACTCAGTCACCATGATGACCACGATGAATGGCCAATGTCCAAGCTGAGTTGATGAAAGCCAGTTCTGGCATCTGGTTGCCACCCCTAAAAAGTGAAATTCTCTTCACTCTGGGTTTATTTATATGATTAGAACATAAGCCTGTATCTCCTGGTGGATATATTTGCCATGACATACAAATCTGCCTGGGAATTAGGTCAACACAGAAGAAAATGAAACTAGGGATGGAAAAAGAAACATTCCTCATGAAATTACTTAAGTTCCTGAATGCAGCTGTCTTAGAAGCCAGAAACCCCTGTACTTTCCGATGCCATGAACTAATGCACTCTTTTTTTCTTTTCTTACACTGTCTTTAGTTGCCTTTTTGTTACTTTCAACCAGAAGTCCCAAGTATAGACTCTGTGTGCCTTCAGCAAATTCCGTAGTTCTCTTCTACCATGACTGAGTTGGCAGAGGCCACTCTCAGTTCTAAGTGAGGAACATCCCCTATTTAACCTTATTTCTTTTTCTTCATAATGTTGCATCACCTGTAGGGTAAACTTTAAGACCTGTAGCTTGGGGGCCATGCTAGGCTCTCGGGGATTTGGGTCCAACTCCCACCCTAGTTCTACTAGTAGTATTAAAACTACTATTAGCAATGGTAGTTGAACTAGGGTAGGTTCTGCGACCCCAACCAACCCAGCAACACCAAATTCCTGGTCATTGTTGAGCATGTTGCTCTCCATTTTCACGATGTTATTCATGCTGGTCTCTGGGTCAGGAATGTCCTTAACCACTCATTTCCTTATCCTCTCACCTTTTATCATCTCCACACGTATATGTATTCTTGTCTGTTTAGAAAACTTTGATTCAACTTTAAAAACAAATCTTGGACACCACCTCCTCCAAGAAGCCTTCCACGGCCACGCAGGTACATGGGATGATAACACAACTTAACAGTGAGAGCAAAGTAGCCTTAGGAGCAAATTTTAGAGAGGATCTAAGAGTATGCAAGGAGCATATTCTAGGAATAGCAAAAGTACATTTCAGTCTCACATTTTTTTCTTGGGTCAGGATCTCACTCTGTCCACCCAAGCTGGAGTACAGTGGCATGATCACAGCTCACCACAGCCTGGACCTCCTGGGCTTAGGCAATCCTTCTGCCTCGGCCTCCCATGTGGCTGGGACTACAAGCACATGCCATCATGCCTTGCTAATTTTTTGTATTACTTTTTGTAGAGATTAGGTTTCATTATATTGCCCAACTGGTCTCGAACTTCTGGGCTCAAGCAATCCTCATGTCTTGGCCTTTCAAATTGCTGGGATTACAGGCATGAGCCACTATGCCCAGCTCAGTCTCATATTTTAAAAGTTTTGTGCCAAAATTTAATAGAAAGCACAATATAGTTGAAATTAAATCTGTCTCTTTTTACTAGTCAGAATAAATAAGAATAGATTCTACTTTCTAATGGTTAAAAAAAAGTAGGCATCACTCACCTTTAACATACTGGTCCCATTGTTTTCTGTAGTCTAAGTCCATATAGACATCTGCAAGTAGAGCTGGTGGGCAATCCTCCAGAACACCAAAGACTTTATACTCATAAAGTCCTGACTGCTATAAAGACAGAACAGGGAGGGACAATCAATTGGTTCTCAAGTTGAGAGAAAATTGGATTCCACATCATATGATAAGTAGCTATGGATGGGGTTCATGCCACGCCAAACACTGACCTCCTCCATGGTCGTGGTGACACAATGTAAAAAGGCAGATGTGGCCCCTCCTGTCAGTGATCTTAAATTCAGACATGTGTTGATGGTGGGGTAGCTGTAATTGCCATCCAAGTAATTTAGACATGACATAAGAAGGGTTATATAATAAATGTTGCCAGGGGCATGGCTATGTAATCAGGTGGTCAGAAAGGGCTTCTATGGTTCATTTATCAGAATATCTTGTTCTAAATGTTACAACAGGTTATGGGAAGGAAAGTTTATTGTTAGAAGAAGCCAGTCATGGGAAGGAAAGTTTATTCCTGGTAAAATAACCTCAGATTGATGGGTTGACATGCTTAAAGAAATTGAGGTCTAGAGAACTCTGGAATAAGAAAAAGAGTGGTAGGAGCTGAGGTTAGAGAGGCTGTGAGGGACAGACTCCAAATGGCTTTGCCAATCAGGATAAGGGATAAAGAATTTATTCTCATTGATATAGAAAACTAATGGAGTACTTTAAGAAAGGGAATGACCAGATCTAATTGAGAATTCAGTTTAGGAATGACCAGATATGATTAATTTAAGATGATTCTTGCTACTATTTAGAAAATAGATCATAAGGGAACAGGAGACTGGTTAGAAGACCATCGCAGTAGTCTCAATAAGAGATGATGGTGTGTTGAACACAGAGGTAACAACAATCATGGGGAGAAGTCAGTGATTTGGGGATATATTTGGGGGGTAAAGTCAACAGGAATTGCTGACAGATTGGCTGTAGCAGAAAAAAAGCAAAGAATCAAGGACAACTTTTAGAACCTTTGCTTGAACATCTGGGTATATGGGCACCCCATTTTCTAAGACAGAATAAACTTGGAGAAGAGGTGATTTGTGGGCTCTAGGGATAATCAGGAGTTCTATTTGGGGACAAGTTAAGTTTGAGATGCTTATTAAATATCCGAGTAGGGATGTCATGTAGACAGAGTTCTGGCGAGAAGTTATATTTCAAATATCCATGGCATAATGAAACCTAACACATTGTTTTATCAATTCCGAGGCAGACTTTTTCAATGATTCTTTATTTTTTATGGTGTATAAAGGATTGAAAAGCAGAAGAACCATCTGCTTCAAATCACATTAATTCCTTTTGTTCAGAAAAAGAACTTTCTAGATTCCAAAGTCCAAGAGAGTTTGCTTCTTTTCATGGTAAGCCATATCCTTGTACGTGAGGGTTCTGAGCTAGAATTGGCTTCACTACATCTGTCATTCTTTGTACAACAGCAGCTTACAATTCCTGACTTTTCCAATGCAAAAGCAAACAGACAAATGAACAATAATGAAACTTTTAGATGAATTCTTGCTTCTGTGCTATTGGTTAATCATTCATGAATGAAGCCATTTCCTTAAATGCCATGCAAGCGGTAAACATGGTGAATCTTTTTAGACCCACTGAAGCTTTAAGGATCTTCTGGCTCAGGTGGCATAACCCAGGACATAAGTACAATCCAGTTTAGAAATCTCAGGTGTATGTGAAAGTACCTGGCAAGATATGAACAGTAAAACTGAAATTGAATCCGTAAGGATCTTCTAGCTCTAAAGGCATTTGACTTTATACCAAGAATTTCCAACCAGCAAATGGCAAGCTACTATATCTGAACATGTTATGTGCCATGCCATGGAGAGCCCAATAGAAGGTAGGCCTCAGACTCTAATGAGAGACATCAAGAATTTTCTTGCCCCTTCCTCACAGACACACAAAAGAAAACTTAGCGAGGGTTTATACATGCTCTCACATCTACACCCATACACACATTTTAATCAAGAGGGACAGTTAGCAATTTGTTCAAGAATATAAGGGTCCCATTTTCTATATACCCTGAGGAAAAGGGATACTAATGTGTTAAGATAATAACCTTTCCAACCTTACATGATTTAGCTTTGAATATCTGTTTAAATTAAGACACACTGTTCCCTTAAACTGGTTCCTTTCTTCTCCTGAACTTGATTAAAACCCTTATGACTTCCATTCTGTTATACATCATAGAAAAAAGAACAGAAAGTTCCCTAGGAAAAGAAAAATAGAACGACCACGATTTGCGTGAACACAGAAGAATGAACTATTGTGACAACTTCCTTTAAACACTCCCTTTATGGCAGAACTGAGAAACGCCAGAACTCCAGAGGAATAGAATGCTTGGTAACACCTTTCCTACTCTGTCAATACAGCATTCTTTTCAAGTGCTGAACAGCCCAGCCCAAATTCTTGGATGAAAATATTTTCTCACTCATTATTTCTTTTTAAAAAAGATCTCAGCAAACATATCCATTTTATTTCATCTTTTAACAAATAAAGTGAAATTTTATAATTAAACAATAATTCATATTCATTAGGGAAAAACTTGAAAATGCCAAGAATAAAGAAAAAGTGACATACAATCTACAGCTGTATACTGATAAATATTTGACATATTTCCTTTAAGTAAATAAGTACTTTTATATGTTATAAAATAGGAATAATATGGTATAAACAGCTTGTATTTTTACTTTTTTTTTTTTTTGAGTTGGAGTCTCACTGTCGCCCAGACTGGAGTGTAGTGGCCGCTTCCGGCCACCGCAGCCGGGACCCGCTTAGCTCCGGCGATCCTTTCTCCTCAGCCTTTCAAGTAGCCAGAATTACAGGTATACGCTACCATGTCCAGCTGATTTTTTGATTTATTGTAGAGATGAGGTCTCTCTGCCCAGGCGGGTCTCGAACCCGCGGGCTCAGGCAATTCACTCACCTCAGCCTCCCAAAGGCGTGGGATTACAGGCTGAGACACCGAGCCCTGCTGTATTTTTACTTTTTAACTTAGTATTACATTGAAGCTATGGAGAGTTCACACTCAACTTAGTTATTAGAAAATATGTCTCTATTTCCAAATATTTGTATGAGAATAAATATTTCCAGAATAATCATGATTGTTAGAACATTTGGTCCATAATTTTATATTTTTGCATCAGGAAAGCTTTCTTCAAAATTAAGTGCATTGATATCTTAAGGTTTTTTATAATTTTTATAAACCTTTCAGAAAACATGTACAAAGGTGGCAAAGGAGCATCTCACTAGGATTGGGTACCATTGCTTACACAAACAATTTGAGATTTAAAAAAAGCACAATTCTTAGTTTTACTGGCAAAGTTTTTATTACTGGTGTGCGAGATGTCTTCAAAATCAGAGATATAAATCCTTTGCAATATTTGTTTTATTTTTCCAAGATTACTAACATTTGAATAGATGACTTCAAGTAAGTTTACTCAAGAGATTCTTGGCTTTTCCTGAAGCTCCTCCAGAAAACCAGTGGCTGAATTTCTTTATCTAGACTGAAAAACACTGGTTATTTTCCTAATGTTCCATTTATAAGACATTTAGTTTCCTACAATTCAAATGGTAGAAGAATTATGTTGGCAACAGAGAATGTCAATATCATGTATAGAATACAACTGCCAAAAGAAACATAAGATTTGGTGTAGTATACACCACCTTTCTTCCTTACTAAAAGCAACCTTGTGGCAATGGACACAGCTAATAACTTTCCTGGTCTCCTTTGGCAGAAAGATGTAGCCACATTACCTTTCCCTGATTTGAATGGACATAATGTTTGGACCCACAGTGTCTATTCTGTGATCAACAGGTAACCAATATGAGAAGGCAGTGTAGAAAGCTTCAAAGGGTTGCTGGCATCATTTTGATCAGCTAAACCAATGACAGCAACTGTAGAGCTCTCAACTATTTATTAGGTGAGAAAAACAAACCTCTCTGTGTAAGTCACTGATTGTCCAGCTTCCTATTACTTGAAGCTAAAAACAAAACTAAAATAAATGGATCTTACTGATAAAATAATTTTACTGGAACTCTGTTATCCTGGAATACAATGAAGATTAAGAGACTCCTCCCCGCCACCCTGTGTTTCATAAAACAGCTTATTGCAAAGATCCACCATTCTTCTCCATATGACAGGTTCTTACCCTTGTTTACTGATGAAAAAGTCAGATGCAGACCTCCAAATTCCCTTTCTTTGCCTCATAAATGATTAACTAAGCTGCCTCTCCCCCACTGATCAATCAGAACAAAATATTACTCAAACTGGTTGAACTTTTCACCTTTTTCTAGGCCCCTGTACTTTGATCCACCAGCAGGCCTCAGGATAAAACATTCTCTGATCCACTTTCATCCCTTTCATTCCACTTCCTTACATATGGCTCATTCTAATGTCCATTACTCCCCTTATAAAAGAACAACTCTTTTATCTATCTCTCTCTCAAGATTCTTGGAGAACATATGGGCAAAGCACTTTCCCTACTGCAATACTGCCTTCCCCTACTCTTTGAAGTAATCCTTCTGAATAAAAGTCTTCTTCCCAAGGCCAGATTTATTTATTTATTTATTTTGAAATTACTCTAAAGTTAAAAAGTAGTCTGACATAATGTTGCTAAAATGCATTGTGAAGGAAGAGATAAAGGATACTTTAATAGACATTAAATTGAGGTATAACATTTAATTTTGCACAGAGACATATAAAATTCCACATACCATATTATAAAAAGGACTGTCTCCTTCCACTAAGCACCTCAGAAAAAAATATATAAGCCTACTGGGATCTACTGCATTCTTGACCCTGAGAAAAAAATCAGACAGAGGCCTTCTACTTGACTTTGCAGCTTAGACTATATTCCCTAGGCGATGTATTAGTAATCATGGCAATGATCATGCATTTTGTACTTTAAGGAGTTTTCTAATCACTTTGACCTGCTATAAATTCTTTCCATAATACTAGTAATTTTCTAAGCATAGTCTGGTTTCCAAGTTTTCTATTCATCATCTTGTATGATAGCATAGCCCTGTAATGTAGATAGGGAAGCTGGCATTATCTC